TCTTGCCCCTGCATCTGTTGCAGGTCTATTGCGTGAAGCCAGGATCTTCACTGTGTGGTCCAGGTCCCCATGGGCTTGCAGGGCTCCAGATTCAGGGGGGTTCAAATGGCTTCCGCTTACTTGGGGGAAGTTTTTCAGGGGTCGCCTGAATAGATAGGTTTGTGGGGGGGTTCTCTCATGAACCCTCGGATAGATCGGCGGGGTTTGTGTGACACTCGAATAGATCGGCGGGGTTTGTGTGACACTCGAATAGATCGGCGGGGTTTGTGTGACACTCGAATAGATCGGCGGGGTTTGTAAGACACTCGAATAGATCGGCGGGGTTTGTGGGACCTCGAATAGATCGGCGGGGTTTGTGTAGGGGTGCCGATTAGATCGGAGGGGTTTGTGTGGGGGCCCCGAACAGATCGGAAGGGTTTGGGAAATCCACCGACTACATCAGCAGGGTTTTGGCACACCAATGGCGTCCCTTCTGCATTTTTTTTCATTTTTTTTCATTTTTTTCCATGTTGGATCATGTTTGTGCATTTTATACCTCATTAAGTATCATTATGTATCATTTATGGCAAAAATGGCAGAGATGCTCCAAATCTCTTGAATGTGTGGGAAAAATGTGAAAAAGTGGGAAAATGTGGGAAAAGATGAAAAAGTGTGGCGTGGGTAGGACCTTTGAGCACAAATCTATGTCACCGCAGGTGTCAATTGTCTATCAATCAGGGTGTCACTCTGTTGTCTTGTGTCGTCTATCTGAGCAATGTCTGTCGCAGCAGCTACTCGTCGCACAAAGCGTGCTCGTGTCATGCAGCAGCAGTCAAACCAAATGATGGGCATGGGTGCACCAGTGGGAATGGTTCAGCCTGGACTGGGCATGGGCATGGGCATGGGCATGCCGATGATGGGGCCTCAGCAGCACACGATGGGCATGGGTGGTTCTCAGCAGATGATGGGCATGGGCAATGCTCAGCAAATCATGGGCATGGGCCTGGCTCCAAACCAGATGATGGGCATGGGCAACGCTCCAAACCAGATGATGGGCATGGGTGTCGCTCAAAACCAGATGATGGGCATGGGCAACTCTCCAAACCAGATGATGGGCATGGGTAACACTCCACACCAGATGATGGGGATGGGCAACGCTCCAAACCAGATGATGGGCATGGGTGTCGCTCAAAACCAGATGGGCATGGGCATGGGTAACACTCCACACCAGATGATGGGGATGGGCAACGCTCCAAACCAGATGATGGGCATGGGTGTCGCTCAAAACCAGATGGGCATGGGCATGGGCATGGGCATGGCTGCGCAGAACCTTCACCAAGGCCCACAGCACATGGTTGCCAATGGGGTGCATCTGTCTGAGGACGAATATGATGAAGAGCTTGATGAAGGAGCAGGACGGGGGTGTGGAACCATGGCTAATTACAATTTTTTGCCCCTAAACTAACTAAAATAGCCTGTGTGCACCTATTGGGAAATAATCAAACCAATCACTCATTGAATCACATTGACAAATCCCTGAGGTCAGCCAGATCTGGAAGATGTTAATGCAGTCGCCACCCCACAGAATTCCATGAACCGCCATCCACCTGCTCAACCTCCAGCACTTACTGGTACTGCAGCTTTCTACGATGATCAGGGCTTTGCATTGGATGACAAGTTCATTGGCAGAGGATGCACTTGCGTCCGGCAGGTGCCACGAAACAGGTTGTCCGAGTGCATGGAGTACGTGAACAAAAGGTTGGAGAGTGGGTACACAGCGGAGTGCTCCACAAACGGCCTCCTTTGCCTGCTTTGGATCTTTACAAGGATCAAACCCAGTGTCCGAATCTGTGACCTAAGTGACCCAGCTCAACATTTGTTGACCATGCTTCTTTATCCGGGATTCAAGTGGTGCGGAGGGTTAATCTAATCTGAATCCTCTGATCATTAATCTTCATGAGTTGGTTACTTCCTCTGGGGTCTTGTGTTTAATCCAACCCAAAATTTGATAGATTGGTTGGGAAAGGTTTTAACTAACATTTCCTCTTGGTATGATAAATAAGTTTTGTCTTTGGAAATATGATTTCTTCACATACCTCTGCCCGCCCAGGGGTTGCCCGGTACTCGGAGTTCAATGAGAAAATGCTGAGCCGCCACAAGACGACGCTGGCCATCAATGACATGAGCAACAGCAACACACTCATTAAGTTTGACATAATATGATTTGCCACACTAACTTACTTAACTTCACAATAAAATGTTGGCATGACGTGACAAATGACTGACAATGACACACGCCATGACATGAATGATGCTTCTTGACTTGCACATTGGGGTTGACAAGTAACTAATTGTTGACAATAGACGGACAGTCATTGCATTCATTGGCAGTTTCTTGGAAATTGAGGATTGTGAGTGGTCTTGGTCCTCAGACTTTCCAAGCGATCCTGCAGAAACTTCCACTTGTGGCAACAGATGAAGCTCTCTTTGCCTTGGCAGCTGAGTTGGGCTGGTGCGCCACTTGGTTGCAGCGTCGTGCCCCACCAGTTCCAGCCAATGAAGTGGCAGCTCCGGACATTGCTGTGTTGCTGGGTCGCCAGCATGGTCGCCCTGTGCCACCACCAGCAAGAGCTGGTGGAGCTGATGTTGCCCCTGTTCCTTCAAGTGCAGTGATTTGTGATTTTGCCAATACTTCTTTCCTGTGCTTTTAATTTAACATTGAACAGATATATGATACTGCCAATTGTACCCTTCAACGTTTTCGAAGCAACTGCAGCAGTAATCAGCTAAGGCTGCTTTTCCACCAGCCGCTGCCCTTTCCGGTGTGATGGTTGAGGTCAATCGCCCTCCACAGGCTCCAGTTTCAACGTCAGTGGCTGCTCGTGTTGTTGCTGAGGAAGTTCGACCAGCACCAGCTCCAGTTGCTCCAACTGCCGCGAATGGTTCTCAGGATGGGGAAGCTGATCATGAGGAAGATCTTCCAACTTGCTGCATATGCCAGGACCACATGCGCCGTGGGGATGACACCATGGCCTTGTGGTGCACACATGCATTTCACCGTGCATGCGTGCTGGATTGGAGACAGTGTGCGAACAAAACGGAGATGGATTGTCCTTACCGATGTGTGCCGCCGCACGCCCTCGAACCTGAGTGTCTTGGATGATGTTTTTTAAAACTTGGACAAACATTTTTTGAGTGAGTGAGAGCAAGTTTTGAAACCTGCTTTTCCTCATGCTGCAACCAACTATAACTAAGGATTCCTGTGGGTGATGGCGCTGGGGGCATGGCTCCTGTCGCTGATGATGCTCCTCGTGGTGGGGAAGGTCCTGGTGATGTGGCTTCGGGGCCTGTTGGGCGTGCTGATTCTGATTCCCCACCTGCTGATGCCATTGGTGAAGCTCGAGCCGAGATTGAATCTTTTGGAGGTGGTGCCACTGAGGGCGACATGGACTGAGTGATTTCTTTGAGTGCCTCCTTTGCCTTGTTAGTCATGTCTGACTTGAAAGGTCATGCTTACGTTTGAAAACATAGTTGGACTGGAACTATTCAATTTGTTTTGCTGGCAGCAACAATGCAATCATGAGGTGCTGGGGCGACATGTGCTGTCATGGGCTGTTGGGCAAGCTCTGCCAATGGTTTCTTCAACTTGTCAACCAAATGAAATCGTGTATCTCTCAGCTCAAGTCAAAGTAATCAACGATGAAATGATGAGCTTGTCAGCCACACTTGGCAGTATTCTCTAGGGTGTGTCCTTTTATCAATTTATCAATGGTCTGTTCTTTGTGGCCTTGCTGTAGTGGTGGACTGGCCTAACCAAGTGATGTCCTCAAATACCAATACCAACATGGCTATTCCAATGCCAACATGGTTGTGGAAAAACGTCATATGATATGTCAGTCAGTCTTAGTGACCACTCCGTGATGCAGGGCAATAAGATTTTGGCTTTCGGCCCCATTGATATTTTTGGCAATCCATAATTTCCACTCGCTATGTGGAGTTTGGGGGCTGGCGGGAGTCAAGAACCTGCTGGCAATTTGATGACGACGACTAAACCAGTTCACAAAGTCAGACTGGGATGTCAAAGTTAGAGGGCATCATGTCAGTGATGACTTACATGCGAAGTGACAAAAGTTCGTGGCTGAGGTGTTCCGATGCCAGTGCCAAGCACCAGCCATGATTCATATGAATTTGTTAACCTCATACTTCCGAAAAAACGGGTTAGGTTCAACATGTTCTGTTTGTTCGTTCTATTGAGTCAATTAACCCCTCAGTCATTCAACTGTTTTTCAACTGTTTTTCAACTGTTTTTCAACTGTTTTTCAACTGTTTTTTCAACTGTTTTTTCAACTGTTTTTCCAACTGTTTTTCAACTGTTTTTTCCACATCATTTTGTTGCTGGAACCTGCCTGCAGGTCAAATGCTGCAGACTCGGTGTCTGGTGGCCCAGTGAGTCAGGAAGTGCCTGCTGCCCACTGACACTTTGCAATGTCATGTCATTGTCATGTTCATTCATTCATGGCCTGGCTCAAATAGTCAATGTCATGTCATTTGTTGTCAGCTGCCAGTCATGTTGTCACTTTCAATGCTGCCTCAGAAACAATCAAGCGACTCTATAACCGCCACTGCTGCTTTCATGCGTTCACTTTTAAGGGAGTTGCCAGCAGGGCATTTTAATTCAACCAACGTCATGTGTCAGTCAAGCACCAACTCTAGTGGGGCGGCATGGCAAGCACAATCACAAAGTGATGCAGCATGCCTTGCATTTTCGTGCTGACCTTGCCCCGCTGTACGTAGTGGAGGTAGCAGACAGTCTGCCCACATGTGTGTGTTACCATGTGGAGTCGCTTGGAAAGTATTTTTGGTCATTGGACTACTTCTTTGACACGATGATCCAGGCACTTGAGAGTGGGGACAATGCCAGCCCAACTAATCAGCCTGAGCTCAACAAGTTCACCAAGTCAGTCCAGAGTCGGCTTGACCAAGCAGATGCGAAGGAACTGCTGGGAGACAATTCTCTTCACATGAAGCCGTCAAACCCGAGGTATCTTCGAATTCAAAAACATTGTGTCTTCAAAAATGTTAGTTTGATTTGAAATGGTTTTTCCCAATGGTTCTTAGACCCCCCATGGTTTCCACAATCTTGCCAATCTCTGCCAGGCTGGAGCAATTGGATGCGTCTGTTGTAAGCACCTGTGGTCTGATGTACTATCTCTTCGACCTTGCTGAGACTGCCCGTCTTGATGCCAAGTCAAGCTTTGCACTGAGTCATCTGAAAAAATGTGCTCTGATTGCCGTGGGCAGGTTGAACAATGACGGTGGTGGCTTTTGCTATCTCACTGAGTCCCGCCGACTGCAGATTCAAGGGTCTGGTGTGGTCAATTTGAGGGGATTCATGCATGAAGACGATGATACACATGGCAATGTGCTGGTGGCATTTTCAAAGCTTTGGGCTGACATGAAAACTGCAACCATCCTTTCGTCTGCGTTTGATGCTGCTTCTTTCATGGACCTGACAGTCTTCCTGGCCAAGTGTGTCAAGTTCAAAAGATCCAGGAAGGCACATGCCCTAAGTTCCAATGGACTTGCTTTCAGAAATTTGCTTCGGAATGCGGTGGTGAAATTCTTGGCTTCCTCCATTGACGTTCTGGTCATGCAAGCTCAAGTCAATGGTGACATTGAGCAGCGGCAGATTCCATCACGTGGACGCAGGAGGAGAAGATCAAGTGATGCCCTTGTACCTGCAGTGGATGGTGATGAAGAAGCAGAGGAAAATCCAAGTAGCAGCAAGGCCCGTAAAGGCCGAGTGCAGGTTGATATGAACACGATTTGGGAGATGCATGAACATGCAAATGAGATTGGACTTTCACTCCCTGCTTATGTCCAAACAAAGGAACGGGATCGACATGGAGGTTGCCACGCCCAAACTTGTCAAATGTGGCTTCGCAAAATACACAAGATGTATGCAACCAGGTCTTCCCTGAGCTTTCTTGATGTGCAGCAGGTCAATGTCATCACAGATGCTAGCCGATTCTCTGGCAGAGAGACTTTGATCAGTGTGGCTTACAGCCCCGAGAACAATGTTGCTGTGTACCTCAACAACCAATTTCTTCGCAGTGGCAGGCATGTGGGCCCAGAAGATTTGCTGCTCGAAGGGACATTGGATATGCTGGTTGCACAGCGCAAGGTGCAACGCATTGCTGCATATGCACAACTCGAAGCAATCAACAACCAGTTGAAACATTTGTCAGATGGGAAAATGACAATCGCCAGCTTTGACTTTGGGAAGAGTGGCCTTGCCAAGGCTATGCAACCTTTGACGCCGAGCCAGCTGAGAGTTGTGACCAGGGATAGCAACTCACTGGTGACTCTGTGAAAATCGATCTGACTGGTATCGACGATCTTCGGGTTTTGATGCTGGGCATGGACCAGGGGACCAGTGGCATGGCAATTGCCTCTTTCATGAGTGGCACCAACACCGAGTCCTGCCATACTGTTTCCTTCACCTGGGACCCTTTCCACCGGTGTGCACGTGATATGAAGCTGTCAATGAACATGAAAGCTCTGTGCCACATTGACCAGAGAAGCCGTGTCAAAACCAACTTGCAGCGTGCTCAGTTGGCATCCTCATTTTTGTGGTCCATAAACTATAAGCCTTATGGAAGTGCTGGGTTTTCTCAGAATAAGCTCGAACTGCTTGAAGGGTTCCTGTCCCTGGAAGATGAGGAGTGCTGGTCGGGTGGGTGTAGGTCTCCGGTAAATGTTCACCAGTCTTGTGGGCCCAAGTTTTTTCAAAAGCCATCACTGATTCAAAATGCTCAAAAAACTTTTGAACTGGGAGAGTTGTCTGTATATAACATATTTTTCCCCACCTGCCAGGTGAGGGTTGTTAGATTTTATCAGAGCTGTTCTCCTCCTCCGCCTCCTCATCCGCTGCCTCCTCCTCGCAGTCCAGATCCCAGTGGGCACAGCCGGACCTCCACCGCGAGCTCCAGATCCCAGTGGGCACTGCCGGACCTCAACCGCGAGTTGCAGATCGCAGTGGGCACTGCCGGACCTCAACCGCGAGTTGCAGATCGCAGTGGGCACTGCCGGACCTCAACCGCGACTTCCAGGTCGCAGTGGGCACTGCCGGACCACAACCGCGACTTCCAGATCGCAGTGGGCACTGCCGGACCCCAACTGCGACTTCCAGATCGCAGTGGGCACTGCCGGACCTCAGTGGGCACTGCCGGACCTCAACGGGAAGAATGTCAGAAAAGATGTCTGATAGAATGTCAGAAGATATGCCAGATAGAATGCCAGAAAGAATGTCAGAAAGAATGTCAGAAGATATGCCAGACAGAATGTCAGAAGATATTCCAGAAAGAATGTCAGAAGATATGTCAGATAGAATGTCAGAAGATATGCCATATAGAATGCCAGAAAAATGTCAGAAGATATGCCAGATAGAATGTCAGATAGAATGCCAGAACATATGCCAGATAGAATGCCAGAAGATATGTCAGATAGAATGTCAGAAGATATGCCAGATAGAATGCCAGAAAAATGTCAGAAGATATGCCAGATAGAATGTCAGAAGATTTGCCAGTAAGAAAATGTATAAATGTCATGGTGGGGATCATTCGAAGTGAAGTAATTTTATTATCATATGATGTGTGCGTAATGTACTAATGACTGACTGTTTCTTGTTTTATCTTATGTGACTGACTTGACTTGATTCACCCATTCACGGCTCCAGGAGACAACAATCTTCCAGGCGTATTCGGAGCTGATTGGCCTGGACATGGGCATCACCATTCGCTCTCATGATGACTTGGCTCATGTCTTTCAGAGCTTGGTGGATCGGCTGAAGTCAACTCACAACAAGTTGGCGCCTGTGAAAACAAGCAGATGGTTTTCATGGCACCAATGCTGTTCCGACCAATTGGGTGAATGGTGGAGTTTGAGGATGCTCTTGGAGCATGAATTTCCACATGAGCCATCTGTTGATAAATCTGACAAGTCTTGGGCTAGGCTGCGGAGCGAAAACAGTGGTATAAAGCTTGCTCTTCATTGTTTGTCTTGGAGAACATGGCTTTCGGTGAATGTTCTTTGGATTGGAGGGAGGCCACTGTGGAGCTGGTATGCAGATTTGGTGAAAAAAGTGAAGTCGCCTGCCCAGGGCTTGGCACGAACAATATCACTGGCCCAGGGCTGGCTTGGTGACAAACAGTTCAAAGATTTGATTCTCGTCTTGTCGACGACCAATTTTTCAAAGATTGGTTCCTATCTGGAGATGTCACTTCAACACGTGGAGCAGGATTCAACTTGCAACATGGACTCCTTTGTTGAGGAGCTATTCTTCTACGTTTTGAGTCTTCTTGACAAAAGGGCCAGCAGTTTGAGCAAAATGAACTTGCCACCAGACGTCTATTCTGGCTTGCTTTCAGACAATGAAGATGTTGCCCAGCCGTCACTGGATCTCTTGCTTTCTGATTGGAAAAGTCTGGTCATTATCGAGCAAACCCAATGTAACCAGACACTGGCTGGTGACCTGAGAGTGTCAGTTCCTCCAGTGATGCGCTTGGTTTTTCAACTGAGTGAACGAGGCGATCATGTCAGGGCCAAAAAGCTCCTCAGATCGCTTGTCCATGTGCTTCCGGACACCAAACTGATTGAGGATATCCATGGGCGGGTTAGAAATGACGCCCGGATGAACATCAACAAAAAACAAAGCAACTTCCAGATCCAACAAGTGATCAATGGCAGTGCTGCACTGGAGTCTCGGGGTGTAAACCATCCTGCTGCCCTTAGCAAGGATGTGTTCAGACGCCAGTGGAAAAGGACAAATGGCAAAGGCAAGGCGAAAGCTTGCTTCATCCCGAGATCCTCCAAGCTCCCGAAGGTCTACAGCCAGCTGCTTGGTTCGAAGAGGTGGGGCACAGTCAGCGAGGAGTCCCTCCACAGGTCTGCTGCTGCTTGGCAGCTGGTGCGGCACTTTGCCAAAAACCAGTTGGGGAGGAGACAGATCAAACTCTCTGAATCTTGGCCCTGATTTAAAACTGTTTGCTTGACCCGGCTAACTTCTTTTTTGTCGGCTTGAAATTAGAAGTGGTTATTTGAAGACTGTTCAGATCCAACGGTTTTTGCATCAGGATGCTCGGCTATCTTTGGTCTTGCGACCTGGAATGGTTTTCCGCCCGCGTCTGAACCTCACTGCTGGTGGCGAAGGTGACGGCAATCACTCAATCTTGCTTTGTGTTGCAAACTTGGATTGGGCAGTTCTGGCTTGGCCGTTGGTTGCTCGTCATGATGGAAAATTGCAGCTTGATGTCAACGGACAGCTGGAGTGGCATTTTGTGTTCCGATTGGATCAGTGGGAAGCTGGTGTTGCCGAGCCACTACTTGATTCGGAGCAAATTGTCATAAAAGAGACTGACTTTCAACCTGTGGCAATGTGCTGTCTTGGCTGCTACTCGTCAGACCTTGTCTTCCGTGAGCTGGTGACGCTGGCTACATTCTTTGAAATCAAGAAACCAACGTCAATGTCAAGAAACGACCTGCTCCGTACAATTGCACTTAGTGCATCTGATGGCCATGCAGACTTTGCTGAGTCAGTGGTTGCCAACGAAAAAAAGAGGCAGAAGCGAAAGCAAGACATTGAGGAGCAGGGCGCGCAAGATGAGGAGTTTGCTGAAATTTTGCTTGAAAACATGGACAAGGAGGATGCCGTAGAATTCCAGAAGGACATGAAGATCGGCAACATGAACAAGATGGCTCGCAAAAAGAAATGGCAGCAAATGAGGCAAGATGGCATCGACGCATCTTGGATGAATTTCACAATCGACATTTTAAGTTTGAAACAAGTTTATGCCGTCCATGGCAGTAGGAGCTCTCTGGACGCCTTGTAGGACCTCTGTATGACCTCTACGGGCCCTTGTAGGACCTCTACGGGCCCTGTTGAAGACCTCTACGGCCCCTTTTAGGACCTCTATATGGGCATCCTCCAACTCCCACTCACACTCTGCTTTTGTCGCTTGGTTGATCTAAGGCAATTCAGAAGAAAAAAAAGGCGAAAAAGCTCAGAGCAGAGACCAAGTTCAACAGAGGAAGAGGTAGAGGCAGAAAAGGCAAAGGGAAAGGCAAAGGTGGCAGAGGCCATGGAAAGGGCCGAGGGAAAGCCAAACAGAAAGGCGAAGTCATTGATGAAGAACCACCATCAGTTCGAAGGAGGTTGAGTTTTTCCACTGTGGATGCAGAGCAGGAGCAGCACACTGTAGAAGTCCCAGTCGTTGACCCAGTGGAACTTGATACCTCCACAGCTGCAGACAACATGGAAAATCTATTTGGTGACACAGGAGAGGCGACAGAGCGCCCAGATTCTGTGGGACCGACAGTGGCGGCAGGAGATGATGACAACGCTCCTCCCGCTGCTGAGATGGAACCACCGGGGTCTTCATGCGGCGGTGCCGCTTCCAGCACTGAGATGGAGACCCATTGTCCGTCTGTTGTAGTCACTGAATCTGAAGGTGGATTGGAATCGAGGCTGGTGGTGCAACAAAGTCTTGATGTTGACAATGGCTTGCATTCGGCACCATCGTCGTCATCACTGGCTGGCCCTGTGCCAGTAGATGCTCTTGCTGCTGAACCAAGCACTTCCGTGGTAAGGGGCCCCAATGTGCATCACACGCCACCAATCTTGGCATCAATTTCACCACCTGGGTGCAGCATTCTTCTGTACTGTTGCTTGGCCAAATTGAGTCAAAATTTTGTTTAAGCTGAACTTGTGTGGCGGTAAATTTTGGACTGCTGGACTGATTGTTTTTAGTGATTTTGAGAGGCTTCCCTTTCAGAAATGTTTTTGCCCGTCAAGCCAGGCAATGATCACCGTTGGGTGGCCTCATTTTCTGGCGCCCTCGGACTGAGAAGCAGTTCCAAATCTTTCCAGAAGGAGTCGCAGGAAAACTGGTCACATGTGCTGAAGGCTGTGCACAAAACTGCATGGGAAAGGTGGAAACAATATTCAAAGGACAGCAGTATCTCAACTCAGTCAGTCTGTTTTTAAATTAGCAGCTTTTTGAACTGTCAGATGTTTCCCATTTCTGAAATTTCTGTTTCGCATGATGGTGGTTAGAAATAATAATGAGTTCCAACTCCAAGGTGAATATTCTTTGCCACCTGATAAAGTTCAAGTCCCTGGTGATGTTTCAGACTCTGTCATCGAATCCTTGAAGTCGGATGTTGAATCGTTGCCGCCCAAGAAGAGCTACGGCAAGAAGCAGAAAGCTGAGGCTAAAGCTGAGCCTGAAAAGGAAGGAAAAAAAAGTCCAAAAAAAAGAAGGACAAAACGTTTAAGAAGAAAAAGAAAAAACACTCAAGTGAGTGAATGAAGGTTCACTCTGGTTTTGATCTTGGGATCCCAACTGCGATGCGTGCTACAAAAAATGTGCAGTCAGTTGTGATGCCCAATCGACTGTCAATCAATGATTGAGTCCATTGTCGTCACTGTTTGCACTCAGTCAATCAGCTAAATGTGCCTTTCTTGATTTACTGACATTCATTTGACATTACAAGGTCGGTTGAATGTCCAGTCGGATGAAGATTTTCATTCAGTCATTCACTCATTTGTGTGTCCGTGTAAGTTCAATTTGACTACTGTGAGATCTCAGTGCACAGTTTGCTCAAATTGTAAGACAAGTGACTGACAGCCTGACACTCATGCGGTAGCTCCACGATTTAGCCATTGGACTCGACATTTGACATTTGACATTACAGTTGACTGGTGCAAGAAAGTTTGCAATTTGAATTGGATCATTTCAAGAATCCAATCCATTGAAAATTGCAGCCATGGTTTTCAATCCGTTCCTGGGAATGATGATTCCCTTGACCATGATGGTGGCACCCTGCAACCCCACCAGAGTTGTGAAGATCCACACGAAGCAGAAGAAGCGCAAGCAACGTCGGCTGTCTACAAGTGTCACTGACCAAAGTCAGATGTTGTTGACAGTGACAACCTGGCCTTTCCTACAGAACCTGGTGATGTATTCCCTGATGCTGCTGCCGCTTTTCCTGCAGACAGCCAACGAGATGAATCAGTGGCAGTGGATTCAATTGACCCTGAGATTCTCTTGAAGCTCAAAGAAGCCTGCCACCGCAAGCTGATGGATTTTGTCGAATGGTCCTCATTTCCTTTGACATCGTACCCTGGGAGTGATTAAACAATTTAGATTTTCGTTTTGATCTGAACAATTCCGAAATTGAAGGATTCTGCTCTTTTTTCCCCAAAGATTTCACTCTTTCCATTTTGTTCGTGTCAGTGAGCTGGAGTTGAGGTTGGTGATGCCTGCTGATGTCTATGTCGCTGACATCATTTTCTTTGAGACAATGATCAGGCGATTCCTGGCTATGGATGCTGATTTGCATGGTGGCCACGCAGCCCAAGTTTGGCCTTTGATTTTGTCATTGTCCTACAAGTTCTTAGCTGGGAAGAGTCTTTGCGAGTCACTTCTCATACTGATCCTGCGAGGGCGGCGTAACCAAATGAGGTCAGGTGTCCAGGATTTTATGGAAGTGTTTGCTGGCTGTGCAAACCTTTCTCTGGAGATGATCCAGGGAAACTTCCACGGATCTGCCTATGACATTGTGTTTGATGAAGCGCAGGATGCTTTGTCAAGCCGTGGCTTGCGGCTGCTAATTGACAATTTGAGTTGCCTCAAGTATGCTGGACTAGTCTGGATAGCGACGAAATGCTCGTCATTCGTGGTGCTTTGCAGATGTCAAAGTCAGCGGTCGTCAGCCAATGAATTTCTTGGCGATGTGACTCGTGCTTTTGTGCGCAATGGCAACGGGCTAATGGAAGTTTCGGCACTGCTGTATCTTTTAGCATTTCTACTTGGATTGTGGCCAGTGATCGAACAACCCACCTCGAGTGTTCTGCCTGACTGCATGGCTATGAAAGTTGTGCTCCAATTCACTCGATCCATCAAATGCCAAACATACATGGGATCATATGGCGGCCCTAGCCAGAAGCCCCTTCAGTTGTGGAGCCCTTTCAATCGCATTTCCATGCTGGAACGCCGACGCCCAGTAGACATGATGAGTGAGCCTTTGGTGAGGCGGCATGGAGATCAATTCACTGGTCACAAGGACCGGCTGATGGAAAGCCAAGAGTATACCCGTGCTTTTGGCCGTGCTGTCATGGAGATGTGCAATGCTGAGTGGGAGGACCAGCCAGTTTAAATCGTCATTTGTTGTCTGATGTAGTCTGAGTGTTGGGAAACGCTGCGCAGTCACTATAGCTGACTTGACAGTTTGTAATTCAAAGCGGTCACTAGCTGACTAATCAACCTGACAATTTGTAATTCGAAGCAGAAAAACACCTCGGCTTGACTTGCCTTTGCCTGCAAACTCACTCATTGACTGACAGTTGACGGCATGCGATGTGCAAATGTCAAATCCGCAATTTCCACTTTTCATTTGAATGTCTGACAGTGAGCACAGTGACAGTTGACATGACAACATGACTCTTTGAGGTGCAAGATCAATTGGAGTGTTTGCCTCAGCGACTTTGCTGTTATAGGCGCTTGTATCCAGTTGTCATTTGAAATTGTGTTTCTTGATTGAACCTGACTCAACTTGTTGTATCTTCTGTTAGCTTGGATTCTTGGCCCAGGTTTCTTCACAGCTTGCTGTATACTTGGCGGCACACTCTGATGACAGCGCATCGGTGGTTCTATTTTTGTTGGCTTCTACTTTGTTGATTGGTAAAATCATCTTGGTGTCCTTCCTTCGTCCATGTTTGACGTCTTCTTCGTCATCACCTCGTCAGTGGCTCATTTTTTTCCAGAAAAATGATAAAAAATGAAACAAATGAAATAAAATAAAAAAAATGAAATAAATGAAAAAAAAATGGAAAAACAAAACAAAAAAAGAAAAAATATATATAATGCAAAAAAAGAAAAAAAGAAAAAAAATGAAATAAAAAGATTTAAAAAGGTAAGGGGGTGCTGATCTAATCTGGGCTGATCTGAACCTGGGAAATTTTGTAATGATTTATTTAACGATTCCACGGGATTTCTTATAGCCACATTGATGGGAGTTCTATAACTAGGCAGAGGTAGTGCGCTGGCTGGGACAGTGATAGTGAGAAACAACTCTACGCATAGGCGTTTGCTCAGCATGGCGCTGCTTTCAACACGGCAATACTATCAAGAGCAGGGTGTGTCATGTAGATCGTTATACAGGGCCCTACTCAATGTGGTAAACCGGACGTAGGGCAAATGGGCAACAATTATCCCTGGGAGCAACCGCTAATCATTTGGCCAGTTTAATGAAACATCCACCAATAGGATTAGCTACGATATTGGGAGATTAGGAGTTGAGCGCTTGGGTAGTGTGCTGGTGGATACTATTATGGTCAGAGTAGAGAAGATATGTCTTTCCCTGGGACGTGCGAGTCAGCAATAACTACCCAGCATTTGTGGGCATCTGACAGCGTGGACAGGGAAGTGTCGTCCATCATACTGGGGGACCTAGATTGGGCTGTGGCAGTAAAGGGTCAAATGTTTAAGCCGTTACTATACTGTAGTAGTATTAGTGCCGTGCCATCAACCAGACAACTACTTACGGGCAGCCAATGATTAGGTAGGCACCCCTTTGGCTCAGAACCAGGGATGAGGGTACACCGATGGGGTATAATTACCTTAGAATGTCGGACGGTTGCCAAGCATAGTGGGCGGCCCTAATCAGATACATCCCCTGGTCAATTGGATAATTTAGGCAGGGGGGATAATGGCTGGCATGGAAAAAATATACCTGTACAGACAGGAACTAACAGCTACCATGCTCTGATTGTGAAAACCCCTGGAGGTAGTGCTGCTCTGTTGTCTGGACCCTGGGACGTAATTCCATCAGATGCCCCGCTCGTATCCAGTAGACTGTTCCCTTGGTCCCTGGGCCTTGGCATAAACAAGCACTCCTGTGAACGAGCTGCCTACTTAACGCACAATGGGCTGCTCTAAGGGAGTGGACTTTCCATCTCACGCAGACTTTTGGTCTTTAGCAGTGTTCAGTAATTGAGGTCCTGTCTAGTCCCTCTAGGTTACAGGGAGATAAATTATTTTGCGGTCAATTTGTTGAGCTTTGCAACCAAAAAAGTAGACAAGCAGTGATAGTTAATGTCAAGATGCTAGCAGGAACCATGGCAACAGTAACAAGGAAGCACCAGCCAGTGCAGCCACTGCTTTCAGCATGTCTACAGAGTGCATCAACCTCTGAAAATCATTGAATAATTAAATGGTCACTCAGTATTTGCACAGGGTTCGCAGTCAAAACCATCCAACTGGGATGCCCGAAATATGGTAAGAACATTGAGACCATGTGGTAAAAACAATTGTCGAGTACAACAGAGGGTCTAGGAAGGTAGGTTTTTCCACGTCTTCCTTTCGGATAGATGGCGATTCCGATTCAATTGCGGCAACTGGAGATCTCACCGTAGCCACCGCTCCTTTCTGTGCCTTGTACCAATCCGAAAGGGCCTGAGTTCATCGATGCGCGGAAGTACTTTCATCAACATTTGAAATGGTCCTTGACCCTCGTTGTGAAATCTTGCGATGTCCAAAAAGGTGGCTTATCCGAGAGGCTGGTTTGTGCAAGAAATTATTTGCCAGAAAATCTGGCCAGCTACTTTTCACTGATCGTTGAAGCCCACGGAGTTAGCGCTGCTCCGTTCCAATGGATTTTGGAGCTACGCTTGTAGCCCACAACCCGGATCATTAGGCCATGGGCCTTGGCAGACACAAGGAAGCCTGTTCACGAGCTGCCTACTTGGCGCACATGTATGCGCGCCATCGCAACCCAATGCCTGCTGCTCTGGTTAAACTCCGTCCAGGACACCCGCGCTAGGACTTGCTGACGCCGGTTCGGAACAGTGTGCCGCATTGCAAAGTGGTAGTTGGAGACTCGCCATTACCCTAGGTACCCTTGGGAACAGCGGCTGTCCTAAACTGCTAGCACTCGAGGCTCTATCCAGCTCTGGGTACGAGGTGCCATGGGCGGCGAGAGCACTATCTACTTTAACTTGGCAGCACATAATGTCCTACCGGCTCTATCACACTGCGCGAGGGGGGCGTCAGCGTGGTACTTCTCTGTTCTGCGTCGGTGGTACATGGCTCAGGATCTTCAGCAGTGGCATGTGGGAAGTGAAGTCCATCACCCTGGAGCAACCTTCATGGATTGGAGTATTCTGCGGAATTTCTTATGGCCACGTGGTTGGTAATGCTACAACTCTATTAAGATCGTGCGCCAGTTGGCAGGATGATATTATGAAAAAGGATCTTAAGCATAAGTGTTGCTCAGCCTAGCGATGCTGCCAACAGGGCAATAACTATCAGGAACAATGCCTTCTTTGATGCGATAGTCTAGACTAGCGACAAGTGGGCAACAGTTCTTTCTGGGAGCATCCTTTATCCATTGGGCCCGTTTACCACATCCACTCGCAGGGTTAGCTACTATGTGGGAGATGAGGGGTTAAACGCTTGGGTAGTGCGTTGAGGGTAACCATGCTGGTTAAAGCGGAGAAGATATATCTTTTCCTGGGACATGCGTGTCATCAGTAACTACCCAGCATTAATTGGCGTCTGAGCGTGAACAGGGAAAGGTCATCCATTCATTATTATTACGAATGCTTCATTCGAAGGGGAAACAATGTAGGTGGCAAGTAGCGCCGAAGAGTAGTATTACTCAGCGTGACCTGCTGCACCTTACCATGAGTATGGCACTCGAGTAGGACGACCCGAAGCTAATGACTCCAAAAACGCACTTTGAAACTTCATGTGCCGTGGAAACAATGCGCAGGTAGATCAGAGGGTCGAAGATATAGTATGGTACAGGACTTATCTACGGACAGACGACAAACGGGATTCAAGGGCAGCAACGAGCTACAACTGCCTTTGACGTATTTTATATCGGTCCGAAGGAGCCTCAGCAACTCGATGCGGGTCACTGAAAATGTTTCTCCATTACCCAAGGTACCCTTGGGAACAGAGATGGTCGTATGGCAGTTACATAGCGATGATCTCACTTCTAATCCATCCTTTCAGGGCAAAATGTTGCACACGATGCTTTACGATGCCTGTGTTTGCTAAGGAGCTGGAGTACAGAGAGTATTGCAGTTGTTGTTTTTTTTTTTGACGATGACTGCAAATCTTCTGGGGCTAACCCAAATCCATAGATCTTCCTGAAAGGAATCTGTGGCATAGAAGGGCCATATCTGTCGGCCTCCCATTTCCACAAACCAAAAGTTGGTATAGACGTCATCACTGGCCTCAGTATCTACGTGACAGAAATCATGCGACAATTTGGCGGAGCTGGACCCTGGGTAGGCCCAGTCCGGCGGGCTCTTCATGTCGTCATTGAGGATAATATTCCAGCATTCTCCATTGATGCACATTCTATATTCATAGAAAGACCACGCATGGAGCTGCTTGGCGTGCTCATAAAAGCCCTGCTGCCGATATACCTGGATGCCATCGTATTCCGTAATGTAGGACTCTTTGTACCCAGGTCGCTGGGATTCACTGTGAGCCTCAGTATCATTATTGCCTCCAGCTGGGCCCGCTTGGTCAGGCCCAGTCAGTGGGCCTGCTTTTAGCGTGACCTTATCACCGATCCACTGCGCCATGACTGCCCACCAGGGTTTACAAGGGTATGGCGGAGTAGAGACAGAGAGCAGGAAGGGAGAAAGAGGAATTAGTCACAAATGACGGACAGGGACGGACCAGGGAGCACACATGAAGTACAGACAGTGACGATGCAGATGGAGTAGCAGAAAAAGAGACAGCCAAAGGGAGGGGAACGATGAAGAAGGCGAAGAGAGGGAAAGTAAAATAGAGAGAGGGTACTCCCCTGACAGTCTTTAGTCAGAGGAGTGGGAACCCTGCAAATGGGAAGGTGGTTTGAGCCACAGAAGTGCGGCAGGGTAGACAATATTGCTGACAGATCTCAATCTGCAGAACTTGACCAAGGTGGGCAAGTGTACTCATGAGTACCGCTGCTTATCATGCTCTCTGTCGTGACATGACTTATCACTTTCCGTAGCTTTGGCTCAAGTTTTCGGTTCAAGTTACCAGTAGCCGAGCACACCTGTTGCAGAGGAGAGTACTGGTAACTGCGTAGTTAGCCCAGGGGTAAGGGACTTGTTGCGTAGTTTGTTGCTGGGGCGACTTACTGTGCTCGATTCC